TCGTCATCATCATCATTATCATCGTCATTATCATCGTCATTATTATCGTCATCGTGATTATCATCGTCATCGTCATCATTATCATTATCATCATCATTATCATTATCATCTTTGTCATCATCTTCGTCCATCATCACCATTATCATGATTACAGAAAGTTTTTTCCGATGCAGGAAATCAATCTCTTTAATTTTTTCTTTTTTCTTTTTATTTCTTTCTTTCTTTTATCTTTTATCTTTTTATTTTATTGTCCTTTCTTTTTCCTTTCCTAAGTTTGTTGCCGCCTCTATCCTAGTTATCTCTTTAAAATGCTTTATAATAAAAACGTATGGTTTCATTTAACTCACACATTTATCTCTCTCCTACAGGTGACGCGACTTAGAACGCCAACCCTATACCTGTCAAAAACAGACGAAAACTTCGTTAGCTTCCGTGTTTGAAGCATAGGGGAAAAACTCAAACTAGACAGTTTTATAGTGTAGGTAGACATATATAACTCAACAATGAAAATCGTTTTCGCATGCGTCAGATTGTCCAAGAATATACGATCTCGTATCCAGAGTCCTTATTTCTTACTGCGCATGCTCGACGAAATGATTTCGTCAAGTATGCGCAGCAAAGAATAAAGGCTCTGATTAAAAGATCGGGTTTTTAGGGGGAAATATTTTACTAAAACATTAGAAACGTTCTACATACAATAAAAACAAACCATGCAAAGGCATTGTTCAAAAGATTTCTAAAAAAATCTAATTTTAAGAAATGAGCTTTAGAGACCTTTTTCCGCTTGTGTGTAATTTTTTCTCATTTCAGAAGACGAGTTTGTCTTATGGTGCGCAACTGTTAAACAAAAAGAATAATGCTCTAGGGAATGACATTTGATCCAAAACCATAACTTTTTAGTTTGAATTGGTATGTAGCCGTCATATACTGTATTTCTTAAGAGTGGAGGAAAACCTGAGGAACTGTGCTGAAAAATCTCGAATCAAGGGAGAAACCTAAAGATGATTCCAAGTCTAGGGAGAGTTTGGTTCCCAAACAGAAGCCGAATCACTGACATATTACTTGTGTGCAATAGTCTATGCTGTATAAAGTAAATTGAAGTGAATTTCAGTAAATATACAGTTTTTCTTAAATCTTCTGACTTGGTATAAATATCAGAAATTTCTTTGTGTATAACTTTACCATACTACAGTCAAACCAGCTCTTGCCTTCCTATCAAGGTTCAAAGATTTATTCATTATTGGAAATTTGATTTCCATACTGCTTTGAAGTGCCGTGCTTTAAATGATGAAACGAACGTTGTAAATTTCAATCCCGGTCTTTGCCTCAAAACATCAAAATGTTCATTTGTAAAAGGAAATTTTTTGAACGAATTAAAACTGCACACCAAACAACTTAGGCCCCGTCCACACGTATCCGGAAATTTGTGTATCCGCAAATTTTTTTTTGCGGATACGGGTTGCGTCCACACGTGTCCGGAAGTTTTTTTATCCGTATCCGGAAATTTTCGAAAACGGTCTCCAGAGTGGACATTTTCGAATACGCTGCGAATACGGATACGTGTGGACGGTCGTATCCGCAAATTTTGGAATACACTGACGTAAACACGATTTTGCGCATGCTCAATAAGAAAAACTATCCGTCAAAGGGACTAGGCACTATTTACTTATTAGTTTCGCCATATATTAAACTGGAAATATAATAACTGAAAAAAATACTGTGATATATATGACAGGGTGACCGCAACAGCGTTAAGCCAATTACTGCGGGCCCAAATAATGTCTTAAATGAAACTTAGTGCATAAAGATAATTTAAGTAGATATATTGACACATTTGAATCAAATAACTAATAACAGGAGGTAGCAAGAGTGAGGCTTCTGCAAGAGTTACATTTTAAACAAACTGTTTTAAAAGTACGTGGGTCGTAACAGTTGTAACTGTCCAGTGACGTTACGTAGTAACTTAACATGGCGCGTTTAAATATGTTGAGTTTGTCCATGTTCAGATTTAGTTCATCATCGAGAGCGTTCCATATTCTAGTTGTCCTGATGAGGTAGGATTTCTTGTACGTAGAGGTCTTGCACTGACGTACTGCGTACTTGACAACATTACTGTTTGATGATCTCGTTGGTCTTGTTAGCGTGCATCAGGGCGGATCAAGAAATTTCCGGATACGTGTGGACAGTGAAAACGATTCGAAAACGATTCGAATACGCTGCGTGTGGACACGAACATTTTCGTATCCGATAAAAAAAGTTTGCGGATACAAACATTTCCGGATACGTGTGGACGGGGCCTTAAAAACCGGTCAGCTACAATTGTTGAGTTATTTTAGCTTTGTACGAATCTGTGAAGAACTAAAACGCATGAGCTGGTTTTGACTGTAAGTGTTTCATTTGTAGCAGATAAGATTTACTCTATAATTCATTAGGGCCCCTCTGGATACCAGCTTTCAGCTGAATGGGCCACCTTGTTTAAATAAAGGTTCCATGACCATAAAAAATTAATGGAGAAAATTTGTACCAATTTGTATTTTTCTCTGTTTTTTTGTTTTGTTTTGTTTTGTTTTGTTTTGTTTTGTTTTGTTTTGTTTTGTTTTGTTTTGTTTTGTTTTGTTTGCTTGTTTCGGCTTGTTTGCTTGTTTGTATGTTTCTTTCTTTCTTTCTTCCTTCCTTCCTTTTTTAAGTTATGAAGGTTTATACTTCCAATATGTTAATGATGACGTCAGGTAAGGTATTTGAGTGTTTTTGTTGTAACGAGTAATACTATGTTGGCCATTTTGAAAATACGAATTTAAAAAAGCTTTCATGTTAACTATTAGTAAAATAATGATGCTTTTTAAATATTGTTTCTATGAACCAGTTCGATTTTGTATATTTAATTCAGCCCTAATAGACGTCACACTTATTAGCATATTGGAAGTATAAACCTTCATAACTTACAGACGCATCACTCAAATCAAGAAATATTTTACCATTCAACTATTTACTTCATGTAGAATCAGAACTGAAAGTATTGTCGAAGGGTTCATGTGCAATTTAAAAAGTGCATTTCGACGAGTCCGACTACGGACCCGCGCATCACCACCTCAACCAATTCTCGGTGCTGGCCAGGAGGAACGCAGGCTCCGGGGACGAGATTAAAAACAGCACAGATGTTTTTAAACTAGGATATTTGAAAAATTAATATATGTTATTCTTACTTTGGAAACCTTTCCAGCTTCTTGTCCCTCATCTACTCTACGTCTTCCTTGGTTTGTGGTAAGTCCATAAAGTAATCCAAAAGACACGAGAGATGTTTAGATTTGACCTCAGTATATATGACGTATGACAATATGTTGAGGAAACTTTAAAATTTGAAAAATTTTAAACAGACCATTTATAATTTACTTTATAGAAGGATAAGGACCTTTTAGATTGTATTAATGTTATTTGCTAGTTAAAGAAGCTGGATGTATACCTGTTTTTTTTGGAAGTTTGTATGGATTTATATGAAGACTATAAATATTCGTGTATTCAAATGAATATTCATATCTACAATATATAAGCTCAATATAAACGCTGGAAATCATACTAGAAACCGCAATTTTTTCCTGGCTTAAATCTAGTTTATTAGATATGCATTATTATCTTAGATTATAAGATATTTTAAGCTTACGCATATAAAATGATCGACCTTATTAATTAATATTCAACTAAATAAATTTATGCATGTTTTATTTACATATTGTCTGCAAGTTCAATGATGGCTGGCAAGACATTGTTCTATTGGATATCAGTGTTCTTATTTCACTTTATTTTGTATCCTGTTGCATGTGCACAGCATAATACGAGTAAGTATTAGAAAAAAACAAATTCTTGCTCTTTTGTTAAAGACCCCAAAAAGGATCTTGAATATTTAACAATTAGATCCACAGCAATCATGGTCTACTTAGCAATTATAGTCTTCGACTATAATATATATATCGACTCATAGGCCATGAGGGCGAAAGGACTAATTGTTTTAGTCAAATACGACTAGTTGGATTTATCAGATATATAGATGCAAACAAGTTTTGAATTTTGCTACCTACTAGTGGGGTGTATGACTTTGGTTAGTTTATACTATTTCAGGTACCCCAGCACCATCAAACCTTTCTCTTTATTGTAGAATACAAAATGTTAACTTTGGTGCAAATAAACTACTGATTAACTTAGTAGGATATATCTTATAGCCTAGTAACTAGCCCATCCAATCAGAATGCAGCATTCATGTTAGACCACTAGTTGGTTTTGACTAAAAGTCAATATTAGGCCATGAGGGCGAGAGGGGTAATTGTTTTAGTACAAACCTACTGATAGGTCAAATAAATGGATACAAACAATTTTGAAAGTTTTTTTTTCAAAACCAAGTACTTTTAGCGACCAGTGGTCTATCACTAACAAACCCCTAGTAGCTGAGCCAATTAGAGCTCAGGAATAGTCCCCTTCACAGTTCCAGGCACCATCTTGAAGGTAGTCTTGCCTTTGCATCGAAGCGAGACGAATGGTAAGCTTGCAATGTCATGTGAATAATTGTTCAAGGTGTTAAAAAAGGTCTCTATCATTGCAAGTTCACAGTTCATCTTACTTCGATGCAAAGACACAGCTACCTTTCAAGATGGTGCAGGGTTCTGTGAAAGGGACTATATATTGTGATAGACCATTAGTAGTTTTGTATTTATATGGATATCCTGTGAGTGATATGCAAGATTAAGAATAGGATGTTTCCATGATGTCGTCATTGAACTCTACCACCAGACTCCCTTGCACACTTTCTTTTGTTCAGTCAATTAGCACCAATTGTCTTACTATTCTCATGAGGGAATACAAATTTAAATAAGAAAGAAAATTCACCAGGCATTATGGTGGTGGTTGTAAAATGACGCCATCATACAAATGTCCTATTCAACAAATATTGCTATTGGTCTATTATTTTGATTAATAATTTATTAATCTCTGTTACTTAACAGCTACGTCATCATTACCACCACCACCACCACCAACAACAACAACAACACAAGCATCACCTTCAGTACGTTCTACAGCACTGCAAGCAAAAGCAACGCCTTCAGTACCAACAGCTATCCCATCCATATTCATCACACTCTCCTTCGATATATCTTGGAAAAAATTCTGTCCACTCAGCGAAAAATTCAGGGGGAAATTCTCAACCCATCTCATTGAACAAAACAAAGACAAAATAATCCACATTATCTCTGCTGCAAGAATTTGTTACTTGAACGTCGATAGATATTGTGCAGGGGACTACAACGGAGAGGAGAAAGCTGAAGTTGAGCTGTACATATCAAAAAGGGGTGAATTTTGTGTCGTTGATGAAGATATGACAACCAGAGCTTATAGGATTCTGCATGATTATGTGGTTAATAAGAAGATGTCCAAGATAGATGCGGTGTTTGCTGATAAGGTAAGTGTGTGGATAGATGGATAGATGGATGGAGGGTGGGAGGGAGGGCGGAATGGATGGATGGATGGATGGATGGATAGATGAATGAATGAATGAATAGATGAGCAAATGAAATAATTAAACCTTTTTAGACTTAATTTTTTCACACTTATTAAATAGTTTACGAAACCAAAAAAACTAAAAATTTAAGTCATCCAATTTTTAATTAACCTTAAAATACTTTAGTAA